AAACATCTTTCACTAAATTATTATGTTTATAACCTAACATCATATATTTAACATTTTTAGTTACATTATCATTTCATTCATTATACTTAGTAATTAGATCAAACTTATATATTTTTAGAGAAAAAAAAAAAGAAATTATAATGGGTAAATATTGAAAATAAATTCAAAACCATTTAAGTAATAGAAACAAGATTGAAGAGTACCAATTAATAGAAAGAATTACTAATAAAAAAATTAATTAATAGAGGTGCCAATCATAGTCCCTCCGTTGGCAGACTTTATAACTCCGTTCATTCTTTCTTTAAAATCCTCCAAAATTTAATGCTAAAATAATTGGTCCCTCAAATTTTAGTTCCAATAGGCTTTTGATTCTCAAACTTCAATTTTTTCAATTTAGTCCCAATTTCAACTTTTCTTATTAACTATAGTCCCAAACCTTTTTAAAAAGTTACACTTAAGTTTCAAATTTTCTAATTCTATGTATTGCAATCCTTTTTAACTTAAATAATAAAAATCATTTAAAATGTAATAAAATCACACTCATTTCATCCAACTGTCAATAAAATTAATCCTAATATAGTAAACTGAAATATATAAATATCATCTAATTAGGGTGAAAAATTAAGTTTTTGATGTTTAATTTAAGATCCTTACAAATAAAGAAATGACAATTAATTATCTGCATATAAATAACTCACATTTAAAAAAAAAAAAAAACAACAATATGATAAAAAAAGTGTAAAAAGGGATACATGCTTCTTTTCCCAGTTATGCACCCATAACCAAAGAAACAAAACCTAAAGTTATCATTTGTCCACAATGTTCACATGACCATGTTTACCTTACACTCACAAGTCATATCCACAATATATACATGTTCCATCATTTTAATTATAACACTTTATAGAATTTTGAATTGAATATCAAAGACTTTTGAAAAATAATTGAATATTTAAGATTTGATTTTGCACCTTGAAAACATAAATTATGTATTTTAATTTACTATTTTAGGCTTGATTTGGTTGATATTTAAATTAACTACATGTGATTTTAATGGAAGTTATTATATGATTTTTATTATTTGTGCAAAAAAGGATTGGAATGCATGAAATTAAAAGTATATTTTTAATTGTACCTTTTTACAATAAATTTTTATAAGAAAATGTAAAAAGAAATATTATTTTTAACACCAATATCATATGAAAAATTTTAATTAAATAATTGATAAATTTAAATCAATTTTTATTTTTTATGCAAATTAATTGTAAAAGTAAGTAATTAATACATGGTTAACCAATTCTCTAAAAAATTTGGTTAAATACTCGGTTTGATCCCTCAACTTTCATTTTTGAATCAAATTTACCCTCAAACTTCAAAAAGTACTAAACAAATCCCTGAATTTCAATTTTTGCAACCAATTTCTTTCTTTTGTCGACAGAAGTGCCAAATGTCACGTTAAGTTACGATGAAATCAATTATTGTTTTAAATCTTTAGTTACATGGAAAATAACTTACCCACCATGGCATTTTTGTTGTCCACATTAGATTCCCATCACTTCAACCCTTTTCTTGAAGTGGGGCCCACCTAAAATATTTTTATATTTTCAAGGGTTTTGGTCGATAAGGCCAAGAGTTTCTTCCTTTGTTTTTCTCTTTCCTTCTTTGATCTCAAACCCGAAAACCTACAAAGTTTGCAATTTGCTTTAGGCATAAATCTCCATCTCCATCGAATCTCTACACTTTGGTCTAGAAAGTTGAGTTGACATGGACAATTATACTAGGCAAAAGAACCCCAAAGAACCAGAAGTTGTACCTGCAAAAGCTATAGATTTGGAGTCCATGGAGACCGAGGATATGATATGTTCTTTTTCTCGATTCACGATTGTCTTACAATGTCTTTGTTGTTCATTAGAATATGTTAAAACGGGGGTTGGGTTGGTCAGGTATGTGGGTAACATTGAGTGAAACAGAGGACACTGAGATCTATTATGTTTATATATTGGTTTTAAAGTTACTTTTGGTCCCCACATTCATTGTCTATATATATTGAACCATGATTCTATCACTATTAAATTGAAATATATATATTAATTTATTATAAAATAATTAATGAACTGAATTGTGGTTATGAATTGAATGTAGATTAAAGAAAATAATGGTGCTTTCTTATCAATGCTTATACATATTGGTGGTACTTTTAAATGTGATAACAATAGAAACCTTCAATATGTTGATAAGGAATGGGAAAGATGGAAAGTGAATCTTAATTTGTTAATTGTGTGGGAGTTTTATAAGAAATAATTTGGTAGATATGATGTTGAGCTAGTGGAGAGTATTTCTTATTCTTGAGCCAAACAAGTCACTAGATGACGATTTGAAGCAAATTGTTGAAGATGATACAATTAGGGAAGTGTTAAATGTGTAGGAGGAGAATAGGAAGGTTCATATTTATGTGTCTCATATCCCCAACTTTGCTAAAATTGTGGAAGTTTTGATGCTTCCAGCACTTGTTGAACATTTGGAACTTGAGGATATGGTGGTAGATGTGATAAAAATGGTCTTGATGAGGTGTTTACTAATGCTGGTGGAAGTAGGATTAATGAGGTTGAGGTGGGTAATAATGTTGGTGAAAGAAATAATGGTGAAGAAGGAGAGGTCCAAAATGATGTTAGGGTACAAATTGATGGATGTGAAGAGGTTGAGGAAGCTCAGTATGAAGGTGGCCTTAAAGATGTCCTTGAGTTGTCTAATAATGATGTTGAAGAGATTGTTCTAGCAAGGGATAATCTAAGGAATTTTAGAGCAAATCAACTTAGGGTTGCTTCTAGATCAACTTGGGGTTGCTTCTAGATCAACTTGGGGTTGCTTCTAGTTTTGCAACAACATGTATTATATTATGCCAATAAATTATGTCATTTATGTGGAGTTTATTTGCTTTATTTATATTAGCTTTATTCATATTGGTGTTAATTTCATATTATAGATAATGTAGATGTAGGAGTTCAAGATGAAGATGCTGGAGATCCAATCTGATGATGAAGTGAGTTACATCTCCACAAGTAATGAAGAGGATGAGGAAGCAGATCATGGTAGGAAAAGGAAAGCTAGACACAAAGTGTTTAAAGCAATTGACGGCATTCTAGAAATTGAGCTTAGCATGATATTCTTGAACAGGAAACAATTCAAGAAGGCTGTGGATCAATTAAGCATCAGACAAGGGAGAGAGATTGCAAGGAAAAAGAATGACAATAAAAGGATGAGGGTAGTATGTAATGATCAGAGTTGTAAGTGAAGGATGCTATTGGCATTTGACAATCCTATTGAGTCTTGGATGGTAAAAACCTTCAGTCCTAATCACATATGTATAATGAGTGTTACCAACAAAGTTTGCACATCTTCTATTGCTGCCTAGCATTTGGTAAAGACAAAAGGAGCAACTAGTCTACGTTTCAATAAAGAAGACATTTTTATTGAAATTAAGAATGATTTAGGTGTGGAGTTGACACATGTACAGTGTAAGGAGACAAAGATAAATTTGAAAAAGACCATTGATTGCTTTGCTGAGGCTAAATACAAAGTGTTATTTGACTATGAAAATGAATTAAAGCCAAAAGATCTTGAAGCAAATATTATGCTTGAATGCGCTAGACGAACAACAGATATGAATCCTATTTTCTTGAAGATGTACGTTTGTTTTAATGCATTAAAGAAGGGATTCATATCTAAATGCAGATGTGTAATAGGAGTTGACAATGCATTTCTTAAAGATGCACATAAAAGAGAATTGCTTACCGTCGTTGGAAGAGATGCAAATGATCAAATGTTTCCCATTGCATGGGCTGTTGTGGAGGTTGAGCCAAAGGAGACATGGGAATAGTTTATTGAAAAATTGACAAAAGATTTAATATTGGGAGATGGAAAGAATTTTTGCATTATATCTTACCAACAAAAGATAAGAAAATGATTTGTATAAAGGACCAAGTTAATCCTTGTACTTAGTTTAAGATGACCAATTTAGCCTTTTTACTTTGGACATTAATACCAATTCTGTCATTAACAATTTTACGTTGCATGGGCAGTTGTAAAGCCTTATTCATCTAATAGCAAATCTACTGTCATGTGCTGAACACAAATTTTGTGCTAGGCACAAGTGCAATAATTTAGGAAGCATCATAAGGGTAAGGAAGTGAAAAAGCCTTTCTGGAAATGTGTCAAGGTAAGAACCATGGTTGAGTTCAACAAAGCTATGGATGACTTAGCAAAGTTGAAACCTGCTACAAGAAAAACTATGTTGAATACAGAACCAAAGCAATGGTCTCGAGCTTTCTTCCAAATAGAGACAAAGTACAATGTAGTGGATAATAACATGTGTGAAATATTTAATGGATTGTTGGTGGATTCAAGGCATAAGGCTATTATTTCACTACATCAAGATTTAAGGTCTCTTTATGGGAAAAGAACAACTGTTAGGCGAGAAATTAGAGATAGGAAGTTTGTAGATGATTTTGGTCCAAGAACATGGGAGACACTGGTTGCACATGCAAGTTGAAGTAGGAGGTGCAAATTGCTTTGGCTTGGAAGTACTCATTATGAAGTTCAAGAAAATGGACATGATGTATATGTGGTTGATGCAGATAACAGAAAACATACATGCAGAGAATATGATCTCATTGGAATCCCTTGTAGGCATGCCATAACAATTATTAATGCCAAGAAGCTTAAAGTGGAAGATTTTGTATCACATTGGTATAGGAAAGATATGTTTAAAGCTACCTATGAGTATGCATTGACTGCAATTGAAGGGATGAATCAATGGATAAAAATTGGAATGGCACCTATTCAACTTCCTCCAGTAAGAAAAATGCTAGGAAGGCCAAAAAAAAAAAAAGAGTGTTGGAAAACTGGGGAGGGTAATGTAACATGAAAAGAGGGGGGAAAATGACCTATTAAAAGTGTTTCCAAAGAGGCCACAATTCAAGGACATGCAAAGTAGAAAGGCTCACAACTGTTAGTTTCAGTTTAATATATACAAAATATTAAATGACTATTTAATGTGATATGTGATTTACTTGAGATCCTTTTTAAGATATTGCTATAGGCCCTTATTCAAGAAAGTGTCACTGCATGTGCAGAGCAAGCTCTTGTTGCAAAAGCCCCACAACAAGTCCCCCAGGTCTCCCTTGAAGATCCCCAAAATAATGTTACTGATAATGAAATTGTAGTGAGTTTGAGGGTAGATATTACATTTAAGCCCATTTAATAGTTTGTTATTTTAACATATTATGCATTATATTTTTTAGGACTCTCAAATTCCATTGAGTCAAGTTGTGAATCCAACTCCTATCAATTATTCAACCCCCTTCTAGAATTCACTCAAATGGATGCCCAGCAATATAAAAAAAGAGAGAAGTTACCTGTAAAAAAGCAAAAGAAAAATGTAAGTTTAAAAGTTTTGGATTAATGCAAATTTTGTTGTTTTAAGTAATAGTATAGTTCATTAAATATGTTAAGGTAAGATTAGTGTTATGTGGGTTGGTTAATAGAATTCATATTCATATAATTTGTAAGTTAATTTCATCAATCAATAAAGTCATAACAGGGAGAAGAGAGTTCAAGTGCTACATCTGGAAGTGGTGGGCAATTTGTGATTGCAAGGCAATTGAAGCACAAGTAGAACAGAGAAAGAAAGATAAGGAAGTTGCTAAGAACAAAAAGTGAAGAAAAATTGAAGAGTGAACTGTTCTTGAAAAATGAACCTACTGCATGCAGTTTGATTTTGATGCCATTAAGCTTGCAAAGTGATGGTGTATTTTCCATGTTCGTTGTGTTATTTTGTTTACATTTTAGAAAATTATGGTGTAATTTGTAACTTAATGGACATTATGCTACTCAATTTATATTTTTTGGGATAATATGTTAATGGATAGAGTGGATTTTGTGCTCTCTTACTAAGATTACATGTTATTGGCTAAATTTTATAAATTTCATGCTCTTGCTCTTGAGGACATACTACACTGAAGTTAGAAAACAATGTTCAAATGCTCTAAATTTGCACATGACTTAGAAAAGAATGTTCAAATGGCCAGAATTAGCTAGGACATGCCCAGAAATTTGCATTTGCATAGGACTTAGATAATAAGGTTCAAATGCCTAGAGACAACTACAATTTTGTCATTAACTTGCCTAGAATTTATACAGGACTTAGAGAAGAGAAGAAAATTCAAATGCCCAGAATAAGCTAAAAATGTGCCATTGCATTACAAAAATTCCAGATGCAACTGAATTCACATCATTAACATTGCATTATCAATGCACTTAATACCTTGTGCTTGTAACCATAGAAAATAAACCAACAATCACAACAATAAGAATTAAAAAAAAAAAAAAAAAGCCAAGCAGATAGCTTGATTGATTGATTATGATTACCCGAGAGCTCCTCATCTCCACCTTCTTAACTTTTTTTCTCTAAATGCTTTATCTTCCTATCCATTAATCCACTTTGCTTCTTCAGTTGATCATGTTCCTGTAACAATTTTGCATTCTCTTCCATCAAATCATTATTTTCCTCAATTATTTTCTCCTTTTCCAACTTTAACTCACCAATTTCCTTCTGAAATTTTTCTTTCTCCTTTAGATTCCTCAATTCCTTATCCTTCAAAATCAACAACTCCCTACCTCTACCCTTGATCCTTTCCTCACCAGGTAGGAAATGGAAATATGGGCATTGTCCCTAATATCGGACAATGTTAATCCTAATGAGAAACAAATTAGTAGAACCAAAAAGGGAAAAAAAAAAAAAAAAAAAGAAAGAAAAATGTTAGCTTACTGTCTTCTTTGAACAACAATGAAACCTCATTCCCATGTTTTGGTAACTGAATAAGGTTCAAACTATAGGAGCCAACCCACAATCACATTTATAATATGTAGATCCAATCAAATCTACACTTTACGATGAACAACCCTCCATCAATCTCTCACTGTTGATTTTGTTTGAAGAAGATAGAAGCAAGACACACAATCTAAGGTTTAGCAGACAAGAGAAAAAGGTGAGAAAGTCTGGAAAAAGGAAAGAGAAAATGGTAGAAAGTTTCAACTTACTCTGAACCAAAACCCTTAAAAATATAGAAATATTTTAGGTTGGCCACACTTACACAAAAGTGTTGAGGTGGTGGGAATCTAAGGTGGACAACAAACATGCCATGATGGATAAGTTATTTTCCATGTCATTAAAGATTTAAAACAAGAATTGATTTCGTGGCAACTTAACGTGTCATTTGGCACTTTCATCGACAAAAGGACGAAATTGGTCCCAAAAATTGAGGTTTAGGGATTTTTTTGGTACTTTTTGAAGTTTGAGGGTAAATTTTGTTCAAAAATGAAAGTTGAGGGACCAGCCTGAGTATTTCACGAAAAAATTTAGGACTCAAGTGTACAAGTTAGGAAAAACCCTTAGAAAGTTTGGGACTCAAGTGCAACTCTTTCAAAAGTTTAGGGATAAAATTGTAATAAAAAGTTAAAATTAAGACCAAATTGAGTAAAATTGAAGTTTTAAGATCAAAATGTATTGGAACTAAAATTTGAGAGACCAGCAAATGTTATTTTA